AGTGTGTGTGTGTATATATATATATATATATATATATATATATAATTCAGTTAGAACTTCTAATAGAAATTACCTTTTCTTACATTACTTTAATTTTTCTCAAGATTTTTAACATTTGTTTCAGATGTAGAACAATGCAAAATAGAGTGGTCTATTGTCTAAATTATTGAAAATGGAAGAAAATGTTTATCAGTCTGTACAAAGTCTGGACCAATCAATAAACTTGAATGTCTGTTATCTTCCTGAACTTGTTAGAATTTAGCAATATGGGTGTACAAACTGTATAAGTGCTTATGAAAGTGTGTATATATATGTGTGTGTGTGTGTATATGTTTACTCATAAGTGTTTAATTTTCAGTTATTTGTCATAAATCATCACGCAATAAATCAAAAATATATAGAATAACAATGTTTCCTAATATTTAAGATGTTGTGAAATTGGTTTGTGCTTTTGCATTGTACTTACTAAGCCTCATTTATTTTATCGGAAGGAGGGGTATGACTAATTTTTGTAGATTTCAAAGATGCATTTTAGAAAATCAAAAACTTGTAAAATTACTAAACTGGTACATGTAAGACCACTAATTTATCTGGCTTTCTAACCAAGCTGCATGTGGGTTAAGAAAAATCTCGTTTCTGCTCAGAGCAACGACTTACTCAGTAGACTTAAATTTGTCAATTACAAGTTTCCCCTTCAGGTCAATTACAAATGGCTGTCAGATTTATATAGTTTGGAATGTGCTCTTTTTGTTGATTATAATATGTACTTAAGAGAAGTGCATGAGTAAACAAGTGACTTGAAAAATAGAGAAGTGGGTGGGGCTATCCTCGTAGGTTTGCAAAATATATCAATATTTTGGCAGATCAAAAAGATGGGAGGTTCTTATTTTGTGTTCTAGCATATAAATGTCTAAAGTATAAGTTTCTGATTCATTAATCACTATAGATATAGCATGGTAAGTGTAATAAAATATATACTGAGTAATAAGACGAGACATGCCATACGACACAAAGCCTATTTGGTATTTAGTTTAAATATTTTCTTTCAAATTAAGAAATTAAAACATAAATAATATAAATTGAAGTTTCTTGTATTGATGAAATTTATCTAAAACCTTGAAAACTTGGCAAAATGTTAATGGGGACATTTGTTGTTTTTCTTAAGACTCACAACACCTGATTACATCTGGATTGAACATTTTTTCCAATAGTGTTGGTTTATGGTCAGAAAAGCATTTGTGAACTTGTAATTAAATTAATGATGCACATTATAGTTTGAGAAGTGTTTTTGTGCATTATTAACTTTTGGAGGTAGTTGATAGTTTTTTATTTTATTTTTTGCTGAGTAAGTCACCCCAGAGAAATGTAAAATTATGTACTTGGGTTGTGGATAAAACACTAGCTATCTGTTGAGTGTTTAGCTGTGATGAAGAGGACAAATAGGTTTTAGTTCTGTTTGTAGAAGTTTTGAATATAAAAACCAGGGGGGGGGGGGGAGATACTAGTATTTTATAAAATCAGAGAGGCTTAGTTTGAAATGTGGTATATAGTTTCAACTCGCTTGCTGTAGAATATCAACAGTAGAGTGCAGAACTGGGCAACTAGTGATAGTTGGTCTAAGAAAATAAGTTGTGGGTGAGAGGCTTAATATTGGGCTTTTTCTCTTTTTTTTTTTTCTTTTATAGAATAGGAAATGACTTGATATAGAATTGTTAAAATAAGATTAAGTATTTCTTGTATAAGGTGAATTGTATGTGGTGTCAGCAAAAAATAATTTTAAATATCTTGTATTTCATATTTTCTTGCAAAATGAATATATCAATAAAATATCTTAAGTACAAATTATTAGTTATTATTAAAATTGAACTTCTTATTTGTGGAAAAATTCCACTTGATTATAGCATTTTAGTGTTTTCATAAATATAGAAAGGGCTAGTTTTCATTCTAAGAATATGCATAGTACTGTTAATTATAATAGCATGTACAGACATCTGAATATTTGTGTGTGTGTGAAGTTAAATGCTGTTCAAGGTAAAATACTTAGGCCAAGTAAAATGCGTTTTAGTAACCCAACTAATTTTGTTTTGTTTTTTTATTTATTTATGATATTCAAACGTTTTATTGGCTTTTCCTAACAAATAATCTATGAAGTGGAGGAAGTTAATAAACATTATATATAGTTCGAGAAAGCTTGAATAATGGAGCACAGTTGTCATGTAAAATCATGAAGGAATTAAAAGGGATGGTAATCTGATAACTCAAATAATTCAGAGCCATCTATCTCACTACAATCAATCTGTTAATGTAGCAAATGGAAGCTGGTGGAATATAATGACTGGATTATCATGTGCCATTTGCAAAAGGTGATATGGAATGGGATGTAGAATGATCCTTTTGTGCACATTATATATACGCTGCATATGTTGTATTGATGACATAAATTGGCTCTTAAAACAATATTCACAGAAAATGCTCTCTGACTGTTGAAAAACACTGGATCCTATTTTGTATTTAATATGCATAAAGTTGGGATTTCCCTACACCCATACATCATTATCATTTAGTTAGCCAAATGTGTGCATAGCCTGATAGTAAAATATAAAGAACAAAGTTGTGTCAATGGTTCTGGTTCAGTGGAGAGATAGGAAAATACAGTCACTTTAAAAAAAAAAAAAAATTTAGATTTGAATGCATGTTATATAGTCAAAATCTCAACATCTGTGTAAAGAAAATTATTAGTAATAAATATATAAATTATAGTATCAAGATATTTAAAGACAGTATTGTGCATAATTCCCAAATTAAGATGTTAAGATTCTGCTGTGTATTAAGTATTTTTACCAAATGGAAGAAGCTTTTGTTTTTTATACATTCTAGTTGTACTTTGTTTTTCTTCTGTAAAAATATTAAACATTGTTTCTAAAATATATGTGTCTGAAAGCTTCTAAATGTTTTGTTGTAGTAATTTTTTTCATTCATATTTATTTCAAAAATGTGTACTTTTGCAGAATTCAAGGAAGCGTTTTCTCTGTTTGACAAAGATGGGGATGGAACAATCACAACCAAAGAACTTGGAACTGTTATGAGGTCACTTGGCCAGAATCCTACTGAAGCAGAATTACAAGATATGATTAATGAGGTTGATGCAGATGGTGTGTAAAAGGATATACATTATTTTTTATTCATTTACTGTTTTTTTTCTTTTGTTATAATTAGTTTTAATCATTTTTCACATGCATTCTTGTATAATCCAAAATTTGTTAGTAGCCAGTTGTGATTATATTTGCTAAATTTGTCAGTAAATAGGTAATAGAACAAGTATTGGTGGGTTATTTGTTGAATTTAAGGTTACTGTAAGATTTATAGGTCATTGATTTTCTTTTATAGTTCAAACTAATGTTTTGGACCTAATATAAAAAAAAGTAAGTCTTTGTGCTGGTAAATATATCATAAGTTAAGACTTAAATAATAATTTGCTAAAACTGAGTCACTTATTTTTGTTAAAATTATTGTATGAAAATTTCATTCGTTGTATCATCTTTAGTGTTGAAAGAAAAGGCCTGTTGAAAGAATTAACTAAGCTGTGTGAATAGTTCAGTTATAACTAAAATGAGTTTTGGAAATCCTGGAAACATGGAATTTACCAGGCCTTGAAAGACATGGAATGTGATAATAAAATTGTCTAAACTACTTGTAATGCACAATAAAAGTTCATCTTAAACATTTATTTTGAAGCTTTTCATTTCCATATCATAAAAGTTATGTTTTTCAGCTTGGTGTTTTGTTTTCATTTTAAAAAAAACAAGTTTCATATTACAGGAACAAGACTGATCATTTGCAGTTTCTGAACTTGGTTTAAATTATTTAAACAGTGAGGTGGACCAGTCAAGAACCATGAATGATTTAGTGCTCACTTTTCACTTTTGTATGCTTTAGAGTAGTGGTTCCCTAACTCTTGGCAAAGTAGACTGGTAAAGTTCCCAAAAAATGTTTGGAGAAAAGAACTTGGGGGACTTTTAGTCATCAGATATTGAAAAAAACATAAGTGTTGGTGCTTTCAACAGCCAAGACATGTTGCAGACTGACAGAAATTAATTCAAGGACCAGTACCAGTTCACAGACTGGCATTTGAGAAACACTCCTTTAGAGTATTTACTAAAATAATAACTTGCTTTAAATATTTGTAAATACTTTTTTCTTAAAGATGAAAGCAAATGAAACTTTTATTTTTTATATGCAAGTTTATAAATTATGAAATATTAACAACTATAACTGAAATTAAAATGAAATGTTTTGTAGTGAATTGAACATCCTTTTTCAATATGCATTTTCAAGTTTGTAAAACCTGTCAAGCATCAATTAAATTTGACTATTATGGGGAGGGATCATGTTACTGAAGATAATTGGAACTCCAGGAAAGTGTCTGTTGAATTAAAATTCTCTTAAATCAAACTTTACACATTCAAATTTCAAGATCAGTGGTTGATCCACAGCATGTGTAAAAAGTAGGTTGAGCATTCAAGATTAATTGGAGAAGATCAATGTAATGTGTGTTTCAAATCAACTGATATTTCTAATATTGGCAAGGTTACTCTAAAAAAAAAAATGCATTAGGTGTTGAACAGTGCTAATAATGAAAACATCTTTGCTAGTTCATTGATATATGTACAAAACCAACAAAGTCAGATACGAACAGTGTGGTAGTTCACACCCAAAAGATATGGACTTTGATTATCAAATAAGTCAACATTTTACAGAGAGAAAGACACTACTTGTAAACAAAATCAAATTCATATGCAAAATGTGGTGTCTTGCTTCCTACAAAGGTGGCTTTTAAGTCTACTGAAATAGCTTTACCATTTTTTGTCATATTTCTGAAGTGGTAGCTCATTGATGCCACTCATTCTGGATATTTCCAAAAGATAACTTTAATGAAGCAATTTGTGAAGCCTGTTCTGCAACAACCTTAGCTGTCAAACTTGTGAAGTTATAAGTTAGGGAAAAGGACACTGTAGCTCTTACTTTCCTGCAAAAGATAACAGTTAAACTGGTGGATAAAATGGTAATTGCTTATGTGTTGTTTAGGAATCTGTCTTGATCCACAAGTGATGAATAAAGGGAAACATTTGGCACCAGGCATATTCAAAAATGTCTTAAAGAATAAGTTGTTGTAGCTAAAATATCTTGTTCTGGAAGTTCAATGAAAAAAAACACATTGAATATTTTGGAAATTTCCACAAGTTCAGTTACATTGTAGTCTGTATCATTTGCCTTACATCATCAGGAAAGGTTGTAGAGTGTTGTGAAAAGCTGCCTCATTCTGTCTTGTGGTCAAGCCAGTTTTGAAAGGGACATTTCTTTCCATGGGTAAATTATGGTTGAAAACCTTCATGAAATTGTGTAACAAAGCAATGCTGACACTTGCAACTCAAGGCAGACAGAATATCTTGAGTAGAAGAGGAAAGTGCAGAAGAATGTAAAGAAATAATTTTTACGAGGCTATTCGTGAGGAAGAGGATATTCTTGTTAAGAAAAACTTGGCATAAGTGGGTGGCAAAGAACTAACAAAATTATGCTTCTAATGAAATAAATGACACTGAGGAAACTTGCAAATGAATAGTGTAATTGAGAGTGTCAGTCATGAAAGGAAAGTTTTTTAAAAAATGTATTACAAGAACATTTAAACTAACATGGGAAGTTGATTACTAAATAATGAAACCTATTTGCATGTTGGATATTATTTTGTTCCTATTTGTGCAAAATGGTTAAAAGTATGATGGTCCTGGAAAAAATAACATTCAAATCGTGGAATATGAGAGAATAATTCCTTGGATGTCATGGAATTTATTAACCTGTGGTGTATGAACCCTGCTAAAGTATTTGGCTTTATATTTACTTGTATTGAAAACTTTACAGAATAGTTTATTTTCAGACAAAACTTAATGATATGTGCTCTAGTTCATTAAAGCTATTTCTTAGAGGAGGTGAGGTGTTTTCCCATTACATTGTTATTTGCATCTCTGCCATACATTTCCTCAGGACAATTTTTTTACAGGGTTACACACTTTAAGCAGAAAAAATGTGATAATAATTCCTTGGTTTTTGAGAATTTTTAGCATACAATTGACAAAAAAAACTAACACTGTATTTAAAACTTAAGAAACACCCACTGTCAGTAATATAAATGACTCATTCGCATAGATTTGAGAGTGTAATTCATTACAAAATATTTACCATCTCAGGTTTTTGCACTTTATTTTGTTCTCCCTATAAAAATGTAATATTTCAAACAATGGTTTTCTGATCTCTTAACCTGCCATGTTTTCCTAAGGAATCTGGTGAGTATTGTCAAATGCTGATCTTTGCGTGTTGGCTGTCCCCTGGGGGAGATGGCATTAAGTCTAAGGACTTACAATGCTAAAACACAGGGTTTGAATCCTGCAGTAGACACAGCAGACAGCCTAATGTGGCTTCACTCTGAAACAAGCTTGTCGATTGGCGGAAATTAATTCCAGGAAAGTAGAAAAATATATAGAAAATGTTTTTTATATATCTTTCCAAAATAAGTAACAATTATCTAGCTGTATCTTTTCTTCCCAACTAAACTACAAGTAAAGAGTCATCTTGTAACTATGTTTCCAAAGTGTCATTTTGTTTACGTTAACCTGCTTATTTATGGCCTCAACAACGGAAAAGTTTTGTCATAAATATTGCAGATTAAACATAAAAGTATAAATGACATGGAAGGTAAATTTTAACAACCTTCTAGGTTTGAGAGCTTTCATGGACTGCAACTGCCCGTTGAGTGAAAAGAGGACTAGCTTTGGCTTCTATACTGATGCCTTCTTCAGGTCACTTCAGGTATTTTTGTTGTCTTGGAAAGAAAAACATGAACATGTAGTAAAGCTCCAAGCTGTGTAGGTTGAGTGCGTATCATCAGTAGAATTATGACATCATATTATACTTGCAATTTGTTAAGGGTAGTTGTCTGTAGGTTGTTGACATACAAACCATTGCAGGCAGGTTGGTGTAATTTGTAAGTAGCTTCTTTGAATTAACTTTCTTTTCATTATGAATTTTATATAAAATTGATCACAGTTTATGATATGTCCTGTTGTGTAATCAGGCAGGCAGTAGCACTGCCTATGTAGAGATGGCTCGGATTGTTATTCGAAATGGTATTTTAAATATCTCTTCAATAAGCAGGAACGTTGAGAGCCAGCATGGGCCTCGGGGCAAATATCCTCACCGGGCCCTCTTTCTTTTTTTTTTAACATTTTCAAGAATTTATTAAAAATATCATAAATTAGGACAGCAATGACAAAACCAGACAAAATCATAGCAGCCGTTTTTACCTCACAGTATAAGCGTAAAAACATTAATAAAGTAACAACAAATATGTATTAAATCTATAAAGTAACAAATACATATTAATTATTACTCAAATTATTATTTCATTTGTTCTTAATGTATCAAGCATCTATATGCAAAGAAAAGCCAAATACTATGGTTTTTATCATTAAATGAAGATATGGCCTAAAGATGTTTTGCGGTCTTTACGACATAACCAGGTTTAAATGGCCCAGGCCCCTGGGCAGTTGCCCTCCCCCCTTCCTTCCTTCATCAGAACTTTCCAATACTGTACAACGTTTCCTTTTATAACAATATCTGTGTAATGACTGAGTCACAAGTTCTGGGAATGTCTGTAAATATCATATCAAAAAGTTTGAATTTCTTATTTTTCTTTTTTATTACTTAACTCAAAAACCAAACCAATGGTGTCAACCAAATTCACTGAAGTGAGATTGTTTCAAACAGTATCCACTTTTATAAGTATTACTGATAATGAGTAGTGATTTAAAAAAAATAATAATAATTCTAGTGTAAATGGTTAGCATTAACCCTTGAAGTTAGCTTTCTTGCAGAAATTTGGTGTTCCTTTAAAAAGCTTAAGTATAGGTTGAACAGAGATTACTAGCCAATAATAGATAGACAATAAATATTACAGTTAGAATCTTATTGTATTTAGAACTTGTTTATAAATACAAACCCTCCTATATCTATTAAAGCACTGCATTGAAAAAAAAAGTAATAAAAACTTCAAACAAGAAAGTAAATGTAGGGATTGCTAATATCAATCTTTCAAAAACAATGCAAACAAGACAGTAGGGATGACATTTGCATCATCTGTACATAATAGCATAGGCAAAAATTAACATATTAATGAATTTATATTAGTTATCCCTACATTTACTTCCTCCTTTTTTTATACAAGCATTTGAGGAATCTTAGTTTTCTTGGTGGGAGATGGAAAATTGTAAGATAACATTTTCATCATCAACAGTTTTAAGTTTGGTGTTATGGGGCATATTAATGTTTCAAACAAGTAGAGCTGTATTGTATGTATATAAAAAAAACAAAAACAACAACAATGATCAATCTCAGTTACAAGTAAAGAAACCCACATTTTTTTTGAAAGGTAACCTTTCATCTGTTATGTTAAATGTATCCTGTATGAAAGATTTTACTCTGTCAAAAAATGCTTGGGTCATTTTTTTGTTTTAAATTAAACTATTTTCACCCTAAGTATTTTTCAAATATTGCTGATGATAGTATGTCCCCTCCCCTCTTAATTTTAGACATGACTGATATAAAGTAAAGAATCGATAAGTTCATAAGAAACTGTTTTCATAAACTTTTGTATATTTTTAGGAAATGGCACTATTGATTTCCCTGAATTTCTTACAATGATGGCAAGGAAGATGAAGGATACAGATAGTGAGGAAGAAATTAGAGAGGCATTCAGAGTATTTGACAAAGATGGTAATGGTTTTATTAGTGCAGCTGAACTTCGACATGTTATGACAAACCTTGGGGAAAAATTAACAGATGAAGAAGTAGATGAAATGATTAGAGAAGCAGATATTGATGGTGATGGACAAGTAAATTATGAAGGTGTGTGTTTTTTTCTTAGTTTAATTTCAGAACATTAAATGGTAAGAGCAAATGAAGTGGTAGTTAAAATTTGGTGTGTGCTTATTTATTATAATTGGTTTGTTATTAATCAAAATTAACTGATATTATCTAAATTAACATTTAAGTATTAATTATAATAATATATATGTGTGTGTGTGTATATATATTTCATGAGTAAAATTTGAAAGAGAAGTAAAAAAATCAATAATTTTTATATTGTCTTATTGTTTTACAATTCAAATTTCTCCACAAATCATAAAAGTAGCTATTAATGTTACATTTAACTGCTTCAGTTTCTCGGTGTGAGTATCTATCTATCTATATTTGCTATTTCTGTAATTGGCTTTGTATTAAATGACATGAAACCTTATAAATGTAGTGAGTGTTGGTATAATAAGCCTACAGTTAAAAGACGTAGCATAGGAAAAGTTATTATGAAAGTAAAGATATTAATTAAATTTTAAACTTAAATTGTTTCTGAATTAAACCATTTTCTGTTATATCACCAATGTTCTTAATAATAATAAAAAAGACAAACCCTCTTTAATAAATGGAGACTAAATGAATAAATCAACAAATATTTTTTCCAGTTTTCTTGTCAAACAACATAACATAAAAGCCATTGTGGGAACCTAGTGTTACTAAAAATCTAACTGATTTTTACCAATAATTATTCTATGAATACACCACGAATTAATGAATGATCTAAATTTTGATTGGCTCACAAAGGAATTTACCGATGTTTGGCTGCTTCAACTGCACTTTTCTGCTTCTTTGTTGGTCAAGCTTGATTTTGCAAAATTTGTTTATTTCAATTAACTATGAAATGTGGGGTTGGGGTGGTAATACTTGCCCCGTTATATTTGATGGGCTATACGCTAGTGTGTAATATTAACTTCTGATCACATAATGTAGGGATAGATGGTGCTGATTAGGATTCTCAAGTTCCAAAATTAGAGTACTGTTTTACATTAAAATATCATAGATACAAATAATGCTGAACAAAATCATATACTGGCCTTGTTCCAATATCCATGCTTGAACAAACAATCTGCTTCATCCCTTACCTTTTCAAAACTGGGTATCATCTAAAGTAAAAATTGACCTTAGTGATAGTTTGTATTAAAGTTTTCAAAGAATTCATTAAATGTTATATATGTAATAAAAGTAAGATAGTTTTTCATACTGAACAGTTAATTCGTAAAATTGGTTAAATATTCTAAATACAACATTTATGTTTTTTTAGAATTATAATTACTGCATTTGTAACTTAGATTAATTTTTTCTTTCTTTCAGAATTTGTCACCATGATGACATCAAAATGAAAGCCTTTTATCAACCTTGTAATTAAAATGTTGAATATATTTTTACTGTTCTGTTTTCCATTTTAATGATTGGTGATAATGTAAGTTTAATATGCATTTGAAATTTGATGTTTTCTTTATAAAACAAAAAATTATTATATTACATAAGAAAAATTGTATAATAGCTCTTGGTTTCTATTTTTCACTTTACCACTGTAAACCATACTAATCCATGCTTGTTCTCTTTTTTTTTCTCATACAAATTACTTCATTCTCATAAACAATTTTCAATTTATTGGTTTTGTTTCTTACCTTTACATTGACTGCATAAGAAAAGCAAAAATGTTATGAATGGAGGGTTAGTTATTGTCACTAAACCACTTGGAAGCATTTGTTCACTAAGAGTTGCATTAGCTGTTTGAAAAGACCAACAGTTCAAACCACTTCCTCTGAAAAATATCCATACAAAACACCTACTGTTGTACCATTAAAATCTTCAATAAAATCATTACTTTGTCACTTGTTTGATTATACAGGTTTTTATTTAGCAAACATTGGTTTATTTACATTTTCTACTATCTTGATAACTTGAATCATTTTTCACAAATTTACATTACAATTAGTATAAGAGTAAATATTTTTTCTTCATTTATTTCATTTGTGTTTGAGAAAGGTAACCACAAATTCAAGTAATATACAGTTTATGTATTAAAACAAGGCAAAGAATACATTTTAAAATTATTGCTTTAAACAGTGTAGAAATTCTAAGGATAAAGGATTGTTACTCTGAACATAGACAATAAATATTTACTGGTTGAATTTGGTTATCCAAGTAAATTTTGAGAAATAGTTAATTCAGGCAAATATTTTTTGAAACATGGCGGGCACCCAAGTTACCTCAGGCAAATCACGGAAGGGGTTAATATGATTCAGAGCAGGGAGACAAATTACACTAGAATGAACTTGTATTTTCCAAAAGACCTCCTTAGAGAATAATTGTTGCCAATATTGTAATGTATTACTAAATATAATGCAAAGAAAAATTCTAGTTTGCTTCTCAAATATTTGGTTATGCAAAGTTAAAGTTTCTACACTTCAACCTAATTAGTAACAACATTTGTTTAAAACTATTATTCCCCTGCACCATCTTTCACAAAGTTACATTATAATTTGAATAGAAGTAAAATCAGTTTTCCATTTGTTTTATTGGTGTTTGAGGAAGGTATCCACAAATTGAAGTTAATTAAAATACACTGAATATTGTTGGTGCAAAGTCAATAAATATACATACAAATACATATGTGAATTTGTATAACTTATTGGTATCACACAAGGAAGAATGCAGAAATGTAATAAGTAAATTCTTTTAATAGGAAATAACCATTTGCTCTCGCACAAAAAGGAAAAAAGCTATTTAAGAAACTAATAGCCTGTACTATTGTACTAAGCAAAAGTTAGATTGAACTGCAAACCACACTCAAATTCAAACTCCAGAATGAATAAACTATTCCAAGTTAACCATAAGTGTATATAATAACTTAATATCCAGAACTTTTTTATAACAGTAGTAGTATGTGTAACAGTAAGGAAGGGACTGAATATTCATGATTAATTTAGATTATTAATTATAAATGGGAATGAATTATGACATCTAAATAATATAGGATTTGCAAATCATACTCCACTGAGGGATTAAAAAAAACTATAATATGAAAGGAGTCCATCAATGTGGTAAAAACAAACTCATTCAGTAAAATATAAAGATTAAAGGCTCAATAATATCCTTCCACATTGTTTTAAACATGATTTTCCGTTTAATAAAGTCAAAACACCTGATAGTTTTCCATTTTCATTAGTTCTTTACACCTTAGTAAAATCCCTTTATGGTTCCAAATATATTTTACAATATTACTCAATCCTGTACTGCTTAAAAAGTCAAAATTTGTAACTGGAAACTAAGGTACTATCTTTATAATAATTTGTAACACTATAGTCAAAAAGGGTTATAAAACATTCCAGTTTTTAGATTTTTTTGTCTATCAGAATTAATAAAAGTATTAACTTTTCCTGGTTTCTCTGTACATCAATGCGAGTTTTGATATGAACATTTTGTCAATATGCATGGCTCCTTTGATTTCGCTTGGAGAATCACTTGATAAAGACCATATGGTACAATGTTCCCTCCCACTCTGCTACATTTTCTTAACCTGCCATTGAAATCTGAAAAGCTACCCAGCTGAAAAGAAAACAAGAAACAAATTTGTTTTGTTTTTGAGTAGTTGAACACAACATAGCATGTTTTTAATTATGTAAGCTTTTACCAAATTTTGTTTGTCTATGGTTTTAAAATGTGATACAATAAACATCAGCTTATTTAACGAATGGCAAAAAGTGTGTTATTATAATTTAAACTGTTTCAGAGCTGTTACTCTGTATGAAAAGAAAAAACAATTACCAAGTTTTCACTCTATAAATCTGTTAACCCTACGTAAAAATGACTAATTCTGAAGAAAATAAACAGACTAAATTTATCTCCTAAAATAAAACAAAAAATTGGATACTCAACATAAGTTAATGCAATCTATTGCTACAAATTCCATATTCTCTAAATGCCTAATGCAAGTTATCATATTATTTTTATCCTTAGATAACTTTCACAGCCAAGTATTTTAAACCATATCTCATTTCTTTTGGTTGTTGTTAAGGCCAAAGCTATCTGTGGTCTGTCCATCACGTGCACTGAAACCCGATTTTTAGCATTGTATGCGAGACGACATACACATTGAGTGGTGATCTCATTTCTATGTTTAAGGATATTTTCAAGTGCACTGTTGATTTTAGCTGTTACTCATAACAGTCAGTAAAACAAATACGTGCCATTGGGGGAATCTGATCTCTTATTCAGTATTGTAATTTTTTTAAACATCAAGAAGTTTGTAAACATGTAACAGCCCCCAAAAAAACAGCATACAAAATAAATGTGCATCAAACAAAATCACAAATGATAAATGTTACTGCTTGAACTAGCATAATTTTCTATCACTATCCTTCCTGTAAAAAGATAACCTCAGTTCTCCCATTAACACCACTTTACTTCATAGAAAGGAGAAACAAATTCCTTTACAGTAGTCTACAAGACCTTATAACAGATTGTAGATTATTATTTTTCTTCAATAGTCAACAAGAGTTATATTTGTTACTCCTACTTTAAATTCACACTAGGCCTAAACCTTTTCCAGGATAAAAACTGAAGAAAAGATAGTTATATTGATGAGTTAATTGGGATAGTTCATGATACAAAACGCATGGACATTAGAAAATAATTAAAAATACAGAAATGAAGAGAAAGAAATCTGATAATGGTGTGCAAGATGCGACATTTTTTTTAGCTCAAAAAACATTAATAAACCACATGATTAGATGTAGATTTAATTAAACAGTTATCATCTGCTAAATTTTAGCCTAACACGGTAGGCTTTGGCTCAGCCCCAATGGTTAACTTGCAAGTTACTGAGGGTGGTCTAAAAAGAACTATGTCAAGTGATGCAATAGTCAAGAAGAATCACTTCACATTCAAAAGATCTAACAACCTCTTTTGGTAAATTCCCAAACAAAATTTTACATGAAACCACAATGATGTGAAAACAAGTAATTAAATGGGTAACTCTGCAAATAGTAGGAGTATGCTAGAATTATGCAACTTGACTTCACTGCTGGGAACAACATTCACCCCAAAGTTTGGCAGGTACAGAGTTATGTTAATAGGCCTTCATAGGAAAAGGTTGACTTTCTCCTAGTGGCAGTGATCTGCCATATTATCTCCTTGGCTTCTTTTTCAGCTGGGATGATGGATCATTGAGCTTCAGCAACCAAACCTCCTCTTGGTTGTATAGTATCCAAGCCTTTGTCCACTTAGCAGCTTGGTCCTGATAATTCTTCCTCTGGACTTGTATTTGCTAAAGCATACGTTATCGAATGATGGCTGTCCAAGGTGTTGTTGGGAACTTCAGTGAGCCATTGTGGTCAACTTCATTTGTGTGGCTGTAGACACTGATACTCCAATTCTCAGTTTCATGATTAATAGTTTAATTGCTTTCATTGGGGTTGCCTGATCTATGAAGTTGGACCTTCACTGGGATTTAGATAGTCATTTTCCGGACTTTAACTTCAGGAATGTTTTTTTTTTTCAGTTTTGGGATGTACAGGTTCTGTTGGAGGTAATTTTTCATTGCTACATATCATCTGAGGGGGCATCACTGTATTATAACATTGTCCCAACATTTCCTTTACTTCACCTAACATGTACTGAAGTTGCTTCAAGCACTGGGGTAGTGAGTTGAACTGAGGATACACTGCTTGGCTCTATCAGCTAGCTAGGCATTGTGAAAGTATTGGTTGATCCATCCTTCATCAGCCCAAATGTTGAAGGTGGTTCAGAGGTCTTTGGCACCTCAGAGGACTTCAGGACTGGTCTAGTATCAGCCTTGGTCAGATCATGCATGTCCAATGCATTAGCTAATAACAAATCTTCCTCTTAGGTGAGTAGCCAAACAACTGGCTCATTGAATGAACAACATAGCTAGAACAGTTAAGAACTTTATCCTAAAGAGAAAAAGTTGTAAATGTAAGATTATATGAATTCTAATTGGTCAGAGGCTTAGCTAGAAGTGTAAGTTTAGAATTATAATGGCTCAATTACCAAGTTTCTCTTTTCCTATAATTACTTTTAGACAGTATTATAATCATGAAACCATAAAATTGTAAATTTAAAGTTATGGTCAAGTAAACGTTTTATATGTATATTGCCTGTAAACAACATATCCCTTGCACCTATGGATTTCCCTGGTCCTTTATGCATCACTGAGTTTCACTCAGCTGTACTGCCCATTGTAAATCATTGTCATGGTAACAGCTAACACAAGTAGGAAAGACATTGGGAGGGGGGGGGATTCCTACACTAACAAGATATCCATTAACAGTCACATCACACATTCCAATATAAAATTAATACAGAACAGACAGATTACTGGTCAAGTGAATGCTGCCTGCTTTCTGGACATGAAGCTATGTGTTTCATGTATTGGTTCTGTCAGTGTATTACACAATCACAATGTACCAGACACCATCCACAGTAACTCACGGAAAACCACTTAAGTACACAGAGGTATTATGACTCTCTCCATAACATACACTCATGCATTTCACTGTACCTGGGCTGGCTGTTATTGAATGGTTTTCTTGTAGAAATCCAGTTAAACTGTTGTACAGGCAAATGTTACTGACAACATGATCATCCCTAGGATACCAATGCCAAAATCAAAGTTAGAAACAGCCAATTTCTATGGTAGACACTATCAAGACATATTTGTAGATAGGCTTCTCTAGTCACATTTAGCTGATCACCATTTGCAAGAATAAAGTCAGTATTAATTGGTAGGAGTGATGGCTTCACTTTGGGATGCCTGATACACAACGAGATCAACCAGTGTCCTGGCAGCAACTGTATCAATTGGGAACTATTTCTTCCCCCTATCATTATGGGTACTACAAAGCATTACATAGGGTTTCATAAAGATGGGTTGACCTCTCAAGCTTTTGATGCAAGCTGTCCACTGCTTTTCGTTAAATCAGTGGCTAGACTGAAATAGAGCTCCATTAATTTCCCATAGCTGAAATAGCATTTTTATCACTTGCTGTCAAATGCTGTGCAGATGTTCAAAAGTAGCAACCTTGTCAATATTTTTGCATAGAGAATTCAATTTGAAATAACTCAACTGCTCACAAACAAAGCATGCATGTTCCTCCCATAGTAAGTTTTAGGTGTGGTACAAACATCATAGGCACCAAGGAATTCCTGCCACTCACTAGGGATCAGTAGGGTGGTGTCATAGCACCAGAATGTGTTGGCTGCTGGTTTGCCCTCAGCATAGCTCAAGCTTGGCATGAAGCAGTCACTTGAAGAGATCAGCCTGTCTGAGGTACAGCCACTGCAACTAATGATGCAGGCTTCTTCAAACTTCTTTAAAGCCATAGTTTTAAACACTCTTGCCACGGAAGCTGCCTCTTTTAGAATAAAAATGTCTCTCACACCTAAGTGATGCTTAATCACCTCACCATGTGCTCTGTTGACAAAATTATCTATGATGACATCTTTATGATTTGCCAAAGCCATTACAAAATATGCCTTCCCATACAAAGTGCACAGATCATCCACGCAATTGGCCAAGCTGTCAATAAGCCCCTCTGTTGAAGCTTGATCTCAGTGCAATAGATAACTCAATTCTACAACACCTTTAAACATCAGCACAACTCAAATATTATTGTATTCCAGTCTCAGAGTTGCTCTTTACTCATTCAACTGCTTGATAGACTCAACAGATGGAATATTCAAACCCAGGATACAGCATTGAAATGCTTCAGGAAATGATCCACATCCTGTTTAGCTACACCTTTAAATGTTGACAGAGAGATCTGCTTAACTTTTCTCACAGGGACCTGTTATTGGGGCATAAACCTCTCACCTATGGACATTTGGATAACAACAGGCTGAAATGCCCTAATCACTGGGGAATAAGGTGTAGTGTGTAAGCTCAGTGACATCTTTACTCAGACAAGCATTTGGTACTTACTCTAAGGTGGCAGAATGGCAAGTTATCATAGGCAGAGATCACCCTTCACTTCTGCACTATATCACATATCTCCATAACTCAGTCACCCTGGCATTATAACCCTCATTGTGGAGAGGCTCCAATGTCATATCTGTTGAAAAACATGGCTGGCAGACCATAAATCAGTAGAAACCATCCCATTTAGTCTGACTTGCCAGACCACACACCACCTTGACCTCCAGTTATTGTGTTCCTCTAGTGCATTGACAAAGAAAATGATCAGCTATTCTTGTTGCATGATTCAAGAAGTTCTCCAATAGAGTCTACTGCCACAACAAGAAGTAAGTAATAAATCTTTGCAGCACTGGCAAAAAGTCTGACATCTAGAACAGGACTTACTGAGACCTGACTTCCCTCTAAGACAATCATCTTCCTTCAGTGATTAGCTTTTCCATTTGGTAGTGTCTCTTAACTTGTTGATAATGCAATTTCTTCAAGTATGAAGCATTTTTAAATTTAATAATATAAGAGTTAAGAAAAGCATAAATATATACTTGTCAAGAGAAAAATGGAAAATATTGCAATAACAAATCCTGTGGTAATGACACCAAATCTTCTCCTTTTTACCTACTCTGTAGTGTTCTCAGGTGCACTGACTTCCCTTAAGTGATTGGGTAGCATCTCCAGAATAAAAGGTGATTCAACAGCATATGTTTCATGGAGTAAACCTGAATTTTCTGATTTGTTTGAAGTGTGAAAAAAGACTAGACACCATGTATTGAAATAATCTTTATTCACAATAACAAAAATAGTGAAAAATAAGACAAGTGCACAAAAAATGTCACTTTTTTCTGGAAACTGGTAAATCTTTTAAGGGCTGTTTGAATCTGTAACAATTATTCCAGACTAACTAACACATAGCAGGAATATCTCCTATGAGAAAGTGCACATGACATCACACACAAATGATTGAGGACAATACGTAGTTAGAGCAAAGGGAACTTAGCAGCTTTTATGACCAACATTCTGTGTTATAACCACATACACCTGCATTTATGAAAGTCTGGAAAAATATTATGTTAAACATGGGGAGGTAGAAAACCTGTGATATGACCGCATACCAAAATATTTATATTGGATTATAAAAGCATTTAATTCATTTGATATCAGCCATAATGCTAAACCATGTTCTATCTCCATTTCCCACTTTTAATTGAGCAAGTGGGTCAAGTTAAAAATCCTGCAAAAGTAACACCCCATAATGGTGAAACAGTGATATTGGTGGTTTGAGAACCATTCAATCAAGTCCAAGCTGTGTTCATGTGGAGAAAATAATAACCAGCTGATGCAAGGATTGCACAGAATAGAGCTTAAGTTCTCTACAAGCAATCAGCTTCCAAAGGTGAGACATGAAAGGAATAAAACTGTGCAGCAAGTCCAATCTCATGGATACTTTTGGAAGATATGTTTTGCACAGGAACTAAAAAATGTTGGTGCCAGTAATTTTTGATGATGATAATATTCTACTCCATATAGATGAAGACCAAGGTGAGGCCTTCATGTAAAGATTCATGAATCAATATTACCACAGTGACATTCAAGAAATGCTCAAGCAACAGCAGCCTTTATCTGAACTATAACTACTCGTCTGTGGAAATAATCTTTATCTTGTAAAACATATAAAGAACCATAAATACGTGTTAAGATGGAGTTCCAGGACCAGTTAAACTCAATTCAGTATGGCTAACTGTTTGTAGACAACAATCTGGTGTATAGCAAAGGTTCTAGAAAAGCTGAAATTGAATGCAAGAATCAACCACCCTTCAAAATGGTGAGTAAATGAAGTAAATGACACAGGAAAGGTCATCAATCTTGCCAAAGCCTTGTTCTACATACTCAAAGATAGACATACTGATAAGGACAACCCATCATCACCCTTTGTGGGTACTGCCATAATTGTAGAAAAAACAGTGAAGTACTTGAAGGGCATCTTAGACAGAGAATTCAATTTTACCAAGCACATTAACACCATAATAACTAGAGCTCCCAAAGAAAACAATGAATATAAATTGCAGCAGGAAGTAGAGCAGAAGAACATCACCTGATTTTGTTCTGCCAAAGTAGTATCTGCTCCATCCTGGATTATGTGCTACTGATGATCAGTATGAATGCTACACAGCTAGGTAATATTGAAAAAATATGAAACGTGTATAAGACTGGTCACATAATGTACCTCAGCCACCCCCATCAAGGCCCAATTACATTTCACAAGCCTCAGGAGCATCACACAGCACTAACAGTACTTACATACAAAATTCTCAAACAACTCACTGCCAAGCAGTGGACTGCCTAAAAGGTGCCTCAGGAGACAATCATGGGTGAACAGGTGCCATACAGTCACCGCCTTGACAAATATTCATCACCAGGTTTCAGATGCTCCATTGTGAAAAATCATCTGGTTGGGATCTGTAGAAACAAGCCTAGGTAGAAATTGTAGAGAATAGGCATAAAAGCCTGTCAGAACCTATTTGAAGACAACTTTAGACAGTGACCTGCCATAATAGCAACAGATGATCCTTATACCACAGATAGTAAACAAGCTGGTTGGGCATTCATCATTTAATAGAGCAACAACAATCTGAATGACTGGTGGAACATTCAACCTTCAAACAAGTAGCACAAGTATGGAGCTGGAAGCCACAAAGTAAACTCTCCTCTGGATTGCTGAAAGCAAAAAACAATAAAAAAACAGGGCCACCAACATAATACTTACAAATGACTTGCAGGCAGTACTGTACAAAATTTAGAGAGTTTGGTCCCAAGATGTATGGCAGGAAGCAAAGGAACTGTATGGTAAGACCATAACCTACATTTATTTGCCAGGCTATGCATGGATAAAACTCAACAGGGAAGCTGATGAACTTGCAAGAGAAGTTCCTATACCAAAACTGGTACATCCCTATTAGCACGATACTGACCTCATGTCTACTAATATAGCAAACTAACAAGCTAAGAAAAGTCTTCACTTGCATTCAGAGGGTTTGTTAATTAGTTTTGTTGATAAGCACAAAGCTAAACAATGAGCTATCTGTTCACTGCCCACTGCAGATACTTAAACCCAATTTTTAGCCCCATGCTGAGCCATAGAGTGAGGAAGAAATCAGACGGAATGAGACTTCTGGAAAACAGGAAAGCGTTTGGTATAGTTAAGAAAAATCACAAAATGGGGAACCTGTAGGTTAGTATATACCAGAAGATTACTGGTAACATTACTAAAGGAGCTCTCTTCTATGTTCTGTGAGACTGTCAGCTTCCAGCTAAATGGTCAGTGTCTGTTGATGCAAAGTTGGGGATTGTCACCTAGTACATAAAAACACCAACATCAAAGCAAATGTTTGTAAACTTACATCATTAATAAAGAAAGGAAAAAACCAAGTAAGCCATGTATACAAAGGTAACCAATAACCCACAAAAAACATCTATATTACCTTATATAAAATAATATTAGCATCACATATCAAGAAAATAAAAAAGATAAAAAATGCTGTTTAAACAAATTCCTTTTGTTGTGCTTGTCAATTTCCTTAGATCCTTGCATTTCATAAAGTTCCTCGTGACATTTATACATATAAATATCAACAGAAAATAGGATATCAATTATAATACTGTTTGTGAGAGCACAATTTACTTATGCAGAAGTTTAGTACATTACATTAAAATGATTTTGAATATGTAAATCGTTAAGTCACATGAAAATTACAGTTGATATAAAGTCGTGGTGGAATGACATGCATAAGAATTACATTTGATCACTTTTTGGGAAGGTTATGTAACAGTTCTGACACAAAATATTCATATACTTTGGTCATAAAGATGTGTCAAGATTGGGGATTTAGAATTTTCAAGACAGGGTCATCCCTTTGTAGATAATAGCATTAGAAAACAAAAGAATATGGAATGAGTTGGGGAACCAGAACTATACAGAACGAGACCTGCAACAAACTGTACCCCAGCTGGGTAAGCAAAGTGCAGTACCTTGCAACAGATGAGAATCCATGAACACAACAGTTATTGGGAAAAGCTGTCTATGTGCCCCAGGCAACAGAACACAGCATAATTAAGAAATATCATTCTGTAGAAGTGAAGAGAGTAGTGGTGTGCTTTTGACATGGCAGCCTTAGAAATGAGCATTTATCAAGGGAAATTATACTGCAGGAGCACAGCCATTGGAAAGAGCATAACAGATAATGATGACATGGAATTTAACAATGTGGTGAGGGTTCAAAATCATTTTAATATAACATACTCAAGATCTATGGTTCTACAAGTTATAGCAAAGAATTACATATAAAAAAAGTTCTTGTTAACTGAAAGTTGTTTTCTTACATACAAATATACACTGATACAACTTCAAGACATTAAAGTTTAATGACATCACACTTTACTGTAAGTCAACTCAATTGCAGAAAATGGTCTGAACAATTCAAGTCTATAATTTTTGTTAACTTCCTTTTGAAGGGCTGTGCACTTTCTTTTGCATATTATACTGTTAACATGCTGTTATTTTCACCATGACAACTATTCTATTGTTCGTTGCCTTCCAAATTTTTGGTGTCAGAGATACTTCACTTCTTGATCTTTTGCTTCAAGTTACAAAATAGGAGTGATCAAGAGTAGGAGGGCATGCAGATAATTTAACTTAGCTTTAAGACATATTATTTGTGATTTTTAAATTAATTATTTTTTTATTCATTTCTGAAGTAGCCAAATAAACATGTGAGGAATGCTTTTGTTATAATCTACACAAACAATGATTTTATTATTTGGCTTTATACAGAACTACTAGTAAAATTATTCAAAAAGAAGAAATATAAAATGTACACGTACAATGTCTTCAAATCTTCATTTATGAAAACATTTCCTATGATGTTTTCAGCTTCTTGGAATCATGACTATCTTTATCATCACCTTCATCTTCCTCTTCAAGTTCATTGTCTATTTAAGGACACATACCAAGAAAAAAAAGTTGAAAACTGTGTCAAATATTTATAGGCATTTTAACAGTTTCTGTATTTGCATAACAAATATTTTCATAAATATGACATAAAAAACTGTAATTTACATAAACTTGCTTGTTTTACTTTCAAATTTTACAGCTCATCATATTTAATCATTAATTACAGTCTATGGCTTAGTTTGCTAAAGATTACAACCATTTATTGTCACACTGTAAAATTAAAAATAACATTGTAAAGTTCAAAAATTAATATTAAATGAACTTCCTCTAATTATAATATATGTCTAACTTACTAATTGAACCAAATCAATATGTAGTAACTAAATATCTTCAACTGAAGTAGTTATCAGCCATTCTGATCCCTCAATTTGGAGTATCCAGTGGTCCATTAAAGCAAAAACAGGCTAAATTGTCATCTTTTTTGGCCTATGATATTGCTCAAAAGACCTTTCCCCCAAAAAACAATTTTTACAGGGGATTTTTTTTTTTACCAACGTGACCTTACCCAATTTCCAGATATGGACAGAGTTAAATTTTGTACACGATGTGTAAACAAAATATGTTCACACTGTACTGGTTTTTGTGCAATTTAATGCTCACAATGGTCTGAAATAGAGCTAGGTGAATTAATCAATTAAAGCCACATAAATCTGCTTGCCCTCTTTGTTATTGCATAGCTATCTGCTACTGTCATTAACTTTGAACTGCTGACTAGAGGGAAGGCAACCGGCTGACAGTACTTAACATCAACTCTGTGGCTCTGAAATGTTAATTGAAGTGTATATTTAATGTTTTTTTTATATAGTGTTATGTTTCTAACTTATAATTGTGTAACTATATTCTTTAATGTTGTATAAACAGACCCCTATCCATGTTTTTTTCAGAAATTAATAATTAATGTCTAGTTTTGTATAAGCAGGCAGCATAGGGGGTCCATATGTGTATGTGGCAAAGGAAATGGTAGTACCAGTACCTCTATGTACACAAACTGTGTTTTGTGGTCTCATCCAGACAAGTCCAATGCACTAGTAAAATGTAATGCAGTAATATAAGCCAGGTGTAAGATAGTTTCCTTTACATACAAAGCTGGCAGCACTAGCTCAGGCAGTGATCCACCCGGGAAAGGATAAATTTCTGGTGTTGCCTTGCAATTATAAGCAATTGGCTATCCAGCTGGAACAATCATAGGTATATTGAGTAATTGGAAGTGATCAGTGTTAGTGATAGTGCTAAGGTCACAAAACCTGATGATGACAAAACCTTGTCGAAACATTGTACATTTGCTGTTACGTTAAAGTTATATTAAAGTTTTCTTCATTACCCATTAAAGCCATCTCCAACCATTATCAGTCTCAAAGTGGGTTTTTCGTCATCGAATTTAAGGTCACATCTGTTGTACCATGACTGAAAGAAAATACAGGGTTTCTAACACACCTTTGGGTGTTAATTTGACAGTTGTGCTGACAATCTAGATCTAATGATGTAAGATCAACTCAGTAACTTGTTGGTTGAATATGCAATGTGTTTGTTGGATTAGATGACCAACTAGTTCAATGTAACTTGGCATCCTATAAACATATGTATGATAAAGTATCCACTGCATCAACTTCCTTGGAGCACTAGGGAGGTCACAAATGCTGAAATACAGCAGATGCTGTAAGAGTGCATCATACAACCTTTGGATAGTACTTGGTCATTTCCAGTGATAATTATCAAAAAGAAAGAAGGTATGCCAAGATCCTGCATGGACTTCACGTGAATAAACACTGTAACATGGCTGGATACATTTGAATGCTCTTATTGGTTTAACACGTTAGATCTGGCATCTAGATATTTGGAAGTAGAGCAGGATCATGAAAGCAAAACAAAAACTGCTTTTAGTTTTAGCACAAACTTACTTGTACAAATTCCATGTCATACAATTTGGTCTATGTAAACAACCATTAATGAAGTTAGATTTAAATCGTTAATATAACTTAAACGTGATATGTATTAAGTTTAACGTAAAATTTAAAAACTTACACATACAGGCTACAGTTCCACCTGACAAAGAGCTCTTAAAATTTAAAAATTAATTATTAAAGAGCTGGAAAGTTCGTGGATTAATATTTTTTTTATATTTCAACATGGTAACTTAGCCTGTAAGTTTCTTTCTTTCTTTTTTTTAATGTTAAACTTAAAGTTAGATGAGTCACGTTTTACCTTCTCTTTTTAATGAATGATATTGTCCACCACTGACTTCATTCGAAGTTTTTTCCTGATTTATAAGGCTGGTTAAGACTTCATTTGCTCTTCTCTGCACAGCAGTAACTGATCCGCTCAAGTTTTTTAATTTTTCTGTTGAGCATTTCAAATTGCTAGTAGAATGAAATGCCAGTTCTTCGATACATATTTTTTCTTCGTCGTTTTTCAAAATTTTAAGACTCACGATAGCCGCCATTATAGATGTAACGCCACCTATATTTTTATATAGAAGCTATCAATTTCAATTTTGCTTCTGAAGAAGAAAGGTCCATCTTTCGACAGCGTTCGGGTTATAAGGTTTCATCATTTTGTATCAAGACTTCTTGAACCTGCGTGTTTTTCTGACACCATTAATCTACAGTTATCGTTTTTTGTTACATAATGAGTCTACTGATCAAATAACTTTGATAAAGATTAGATGCATAAAAAAGAGGAATCTCTTAGAACCCAGCAGTGGTACTTTTATTATTCTGTCAACAGCTTACAATTTTATTTTACTATATTTTTTGCTTCTGGCTTTTTAAAACACTTTATCTCAATCTAATTTATAACAACATTTCAATATAAGGTATTACTACTTTAAGGAATTTTAAATATATATATATATATTGTTACGACAGCGGAAGTCACGTAACTGGTAACGCGTGATGAGTTTCTAAAAGGATAGGGGAACATCACGAATAATCCAGTATTTGCTACACGCCCTCTATTTTTGTATATAAGCCCGGCAAATAAAGCGGAGATATAATTGCAGACAGGTAGATATAGAGGTAGATAATCGAGTCGTTAGTCAAGTGCGTGAATCATTTTGAATTATAGCGTGTGTTTAAGTGAAAGTGACTGTGGAAATTAAGTGTATTGAGAAAAAATAAACTAGTTTTATTTAGGAAAGGACTTGTATCGCTGAAGTTTTCCGGAAAGAATTTATATGGGAAATTAACAAACGACCAGAGATGATGGTGAGGCAAGTAGGCGGAAGTGAAGGTATGTCCAAGTAGCAGAGGCCGGTTGATCTTTGAAGAAGGAGCAAGTCGGCAGCCGATTTTGACAAGTTATCGAAACAAAATGAAGCAAACGGGCCTGGCGGGGATCTATATATCCAATGTCAAAGAGCTTGATGTGGAGGGAAACGGGAGTACCCCGAGAAAACCCACTTTCACTAGTCGGGACCAAATAGAAGCCCGATTAGTGCCCAGGTGAAGATCTATTGACGGGTTGAAGACCTGGAAAGATACTGAACAGTGAAATTGTTATGCAAAGAATATAACATGTTATAAGTAGTTCTGTTGATCATGGATGTGTGGTAGTGGTGTTGTGTATCATGTTATATGGGGATAGGTATTTGCACCATGGTTTGGGGGTGGCGGCAATTTTATGAAATTCGGCTGTGAGTGAATTTCGGTGGGTGGCTTTTTTTTGTAGTATTTGGAGGCGAGTTTAGAAATGCGGTCTTGTATAGTGTGTAGTGATGTGTGTTTTTCAATGTAGCACGCGGGCGTGTAGTGAGGGAGGCGGTAGACGAAACGTATTACTTTCTTTTGCAGTTTTTGTAAAATCTGCTGTTGGTTATTATTCATGTTACATGTAATCATTGCGCCATAATCTATTAAGGGTCTGATGAATGTTTTGTAAATGTACATGATTATTTGTGGTCTGCATCCGTTGACGTGGTGACTGATTTTTGTGGAGGTAAACTATTATTGTTTTAATTTTCTTGCAAATTTCCTTAAAATGCGTGTGCCAAGTTAATTTAGTGTTTATGGTTATTCCTAGGAATTTGGCGGATTTATTGAATGAGATCGTGTTATTGTAGAGATTTGATTTAGCTAGCTTGACACTGTTGCGTCAGCGAGGTCACGTGACTAGTGTCACGCCCCCTGCTTTCTGGAAGTATCTTGTACCTTCGTGAATTGTCGGGAGATTACTAGATATAGGGTAGTCTGGTATATATAAGAGGGTGACAACGTGACGGGGAATGTAATGTGTGTGTAGATAGTGAGTAATTGATCTGCAGTGAGAAAGTATCGTTGAAGTTAACGTTCGTTATAGCGTTTGTTTTAGCTCGAATGTTGAAATCAAGTGTATCGTGAAGTTATATTCAGAAAGAATAAACCAGTTTTATTAAGTAAGGACTTGTGTCGCTAAAGTTTCGTTGGAACGAAGTTATGGAAAGTTAATTAACAAACGGAGACGTAACAACACGCTTTGAGTCTTTTGTTTAATCTACGGTAGAGAGCCCTGCATGGCCAGGTGGTTAGGGCGCTCGACTCGCAATCTGAGGGTCGCGGGTTCGAATCCCCGTC